TATGCCTAGCAACAGAGAGTTACATCACCTCTCTGGTTTCTGATTGGGTCAGAGGCCTAGGGCCGATCAGAAGCCCCTTTCTATAAATCTAGTTGCTATTCCCACTGAATGGTGGTGCCTGGTGATGACTCGATATGACTTTGTCAGTGGTCCCCGAGCAACCCAGCAATGGCATTCCGTCTTGATTCCTACCTGGACTGGCTGATTGTGTGAACATCTTGTCTTGCTGAACTGACTGTCTCTGAAACCTGGAAGGGTAACTAGAACTGTGTCTTTATGTGTTTAGCTATGCTGTAAATGCTGAGACTTTGTTGTTTACCCCTTCACAATCTAGTCTTGTGTTTAAAATATTTTTGCACTTTAATAAACAATTAAGGTTTTACTCTGTCGTGGTTTTTGTCTTCAATTAACCTCAAAGCCTAAATCCAAAAGTCTTGACTCTTGACCACCTACCAAAGTAACTGTTTTCTTTTGGAAACTCAGACTGCAGTCCCACTCTGCAGGGCTGACTTTTCTGGTTTAGTTCCCTGAGAAGCCGGGAGGCTTGGTCTTTCACTCCTGGGCTGTTGGGATGAATAGAAAGACCTAGTGGCAACCTGCCAAGGCTTGGGTGAGTTTTTAGACTCAAGTATTTTGTAACTTTGCTTTGCAACACACTCCCCTTGAACCAAAAGTTCCTGGCCCGGAGGGGCTGGCGCTTCTTTTAAAAACATTTTTATTGCCTTTGTCTCTACACACTACAGGAAATAGGGGTAAGGAATCTTCTAAACTAAAATACAGAGTTAACAAGAATCATATAACGGTTATTCATCAGATTCTTGATGCTTCCCTATTAATTAAATTTTTCATTAGGGGGAAAAAAGTTTACTAATAATACTAATTTAAAACCAATACAAGCATGGTTAATCTTAGTTTCAATGTGACACAGAGATCGTAAATTCAGAGTTCAGTTATTTGCGGGTTTTCTTTCCTCTATGTTTGTTTTTATCAAATGCTAGCTTAACTTTAAGTGGGTTAGGAGCTGTTCAGAGTCCAGAGTTCCTTCTGAAGAGCTACTCGTTGACTTGTCAGAACTTCCCGATCCATGGTCACTATTGTCTTCTGCAGCAGTTTTGTCCTCCGCTTTTCCTATTTCTTCCACTGCACTTTGGTGCTGTTCCAAAAAAGCTTTTGCTTTGGCAACAGAGTCAATATTTTCTTTTTTCTCTTTAAAGTTGAAGATAAGTCATTCTGGAACAATCCATCTGTAGGGGGTGGAATTTTTCTGTAAAAATAAAGTCAGGTTTCTATATTGCTTCCTCCTCTTTCTCACCTCAAATGGCACATCTTTTAAAATTTTAACTTCTTCTTGGATTTTCAGGGTTATCCCGTTAGTCGCTTTTAATATCATATCTCTCATTGATCTTTTAGAAAATTTCACACTTCACCAGGCAGCTTGTTCTTAATAAATTCTGGGTAGGTACGATATATCATATCCATGTTGTTTTCTAATAGATCCTTGGGCATTCTGTAATAGTCTTTTAAAGTTATACTTCATTTTTTAAAAGTTTCAGATGGAGATTCCAGTATGAAGCTGGAGTATTAACATTCATGTGTAGATTGAATTTGGTTTCAGTTCTGCCTGGGAGTGGCTAGCTTCGCTTTTAAAGTCTTGTGTTAGAGATCTTATGTTCTAATAGTCAGGGGTGTGTGTGTGTGTGTGTGTATAAAGTCAGGTTTCTATATATATAGTGGAAGCCTCAAGCTGTGCCAGGTTTGGTGACAAGGAAGGGGAGAGGATGGGATTCCCCCTGTGAGTTTCACTGTCATCACCCGATTATATGCATTATTCATCTTTGCCAGTTCATAAACAGTTGAGAGCAGTTCACACCCACTCTGATAGTATTATTTACTCTTTTGACTGGATCTTTTTCCCCCCTGTAGTTCTGTGCAGTAATGTTACATCGCTATTGCTTGATTGCTTAACCTTCTGGCTTTATTTTTTAACGACTTATCCCTTCCCCCTCATCACTTTTCTTCTTCTTGTACTCATGTACATGCACCTCTGTTAACCCACACATGACAAATCAGATACTGGCTCACGAAAGCTTATGCCACAATAAATTTGTTAATCTTTAAACTGCCACAAGACACTTTTGGCTGGGCCCCTTTCCCCATTCTGCTTGTTTATCATTGCCCTTAAACAAAGTGCATTCTGCCAGTGAATACAGAACATTGGATCCAATCCTGTGGAACTTTTTTGTTACAAGATACTAACATATCCACACCTCTGCGAGGTAGGTGGGTCTGAGAGAGCTCTTTCAAGAACTGCCCTTTCAAGGACAGCTCTGACAGAACTATGGCTTGCCCAAGGTCATCCAGCAGGTGCAAGTGGAAGAGTGGGGAATCAAACCCGGTCCTCCCAGATTAGAGTCCGCACACTTAACCACTACACCAAACAAACCCTCTCCTCACATACAGTGCCACTCCACCTCTTCTTCGAGCCTTCTGGTTTTTTCCAAACAACTCATATCCATCCACTACTACATTCCAGTCCTGTGAATCATCCCACCAAGTCTCTGTAATGCCTACTAAGTCATATCCTTCTGTCTGCATTAGAATCTTAAGCTCTTCCTTCTTCTTGCTCAAGCTTTGGGGATTGGCACATAGATACCCGAAGCCATGCACCTTGGCTCCATTAAACCCGGCCCTCCTAGGTGGGCCTCTGTTGTTTGCTCTCCTTGATTTAAATCCCTATGTTGGTTGTCTCCTTCCCCTTGTGGTGTCAGTTTAAAGCCCTCTTGATAAATCTCCCCAGGTTTCCACCAAAACCATTCTCCCCTGACCTTGACTGGTGAAGTTCATCATGTGCTAGTAGGTTGTTGTCCAGAAAACCCAGCCTGTCAGGTCCCAGAATCCAAATCACACCAACACAGCCAGTGGTTCATCTCCATTATCATCTGTTCCCATCGTATTCCCCTTCGAATGACAGGAAGGATCAAGGAGAACATCACATTTGCCTCATTCCATTCAGCTTCCTCCCAAGAGCTTCATAGCCAGCCTTAATGCTTTTGATGTTGTTCATGGCCATATGGGTAATGCTTTGTAGGTTTGATGAGTTTTGTGATCCTGTCTATAATATCTTTAATTTCGCCCCTGGCAAGCAGCACACCTCTTGGGCCAGGGGGTCAAGTTTGGACACATGATGTTCCATACCTCTCAGCAGGGAGTCGCCCATGACCAACACCTTCCTTTTCTTTCCAGTGCCATTTCTTCGTATCTCCCTGTCCTCCTCCCTCTGTCTTCCTTGTATTTGTGATACTTCCACTGGTAGTGTTTCCTTCTCTGCCTCCACTGCAAGGGCCTAGAATTGATTTCTTAGTTCTAATGGCACTGAGTGCTGTCTTGCTCGATGTGTCTGGGGCCGTGCTGTAGCATTCTGAGGAATCTTGTTAGGGCAGTCAACCACACTGTTGTCCCTTTGACTGGTCTCTCCTTCCCTGTGCAGGACATCAAGGCTTCTGTTAATGAATTCCTCCCCTTGCTTGATCTCATGGAGAGTAGCAATCCTTTCCTCCAGGCTCCGAACCTTCTTCACCTCTAAGAGTCCTATCAACTTGCACTTCTGACAAGTGTAGTCCGTCTTGTGTTCAGGGAGGAAGAATTTAGACACTGGAAGAATGCTTGGGATGTCTGAGCATGTTTGTGTCAATTTGGAGATGGGGGGAGAATTTCCAGATTCAGCTGACCATGTCAAATCTTAAAGAATATATGAATATATGTAATACTTTTTGATTTATTTATGTAAAAGAGTGACATATTCTTTTAAAAGTAGCAGATAGCTGGTATACATAGCAGGCAGCTAAATTCTGGCATAAAATAGCTTTTATTTATGCAAAAGTTGCATTTGAAACGCCTCCTTGTGTTCCTATTGTATCTTTTATTCATTTGGAATATTAACCTCTTCTTAAGACACACAAAATTGAAGAGAAAAAATATATCACGCATTGGTTATAAGGTTGATGGCTGTTTTTAACGAAGTGAGATACCACATAAATGTCGTAATAAACAGTCAAGAAGGAGAAAAAATACTGTAAATCAGCGTGAAATACCATAAAACAATCCCTACAGCATCACTAGGTACAAAAAGAAAATTCCTGTTTCTTTTAAAATGGAACAAGACTGGGTAAAATTAAGAACGTAAGAGAAGCCAATGTTGGATCAGGCCAATGACCCATCCAGTCCAACACTCTGTCACACAGTGGCCAAAAATACCAGGTGCCATCAGGAGGTCCAGCAGTGAGGCCAGGACACTAGAAGCCCTCCCACTGTTGCCCCCCCCAAGCACCAAGAATACATAGCATCACTTGCCCCAGCCTGAGAGTTCCTATCTATACCTTGTGGCTAATAGCCACTGATGGACCTCTGCTCCATATGCTTATCTAATTCCCTCTCGAAGCTGTCCATGCTTGTAGCCGCCACCGCCTCCTGTGGCAATGAATTCCGTGTGTTAATCACTCTTTGGGTGAAGAAGGACTTCCTTTTATCTGTTCTAGCCCGACTGCTCAGCAATTTCATGGAGTGCCCACGAGTTCTTGTATTGTGAGAAAGGGGGAAAAGTACCTCTTTCTCTACCTGCTCTATCCCATGCTTAATCTTATAAACCTCAATCATGATAAGAACAAATGGGTATTTTCTAGCAAGAAAAATAATTGGATCCTGAAAACCAAATTGGATCCTGACCTGAATGGTCTACTACTTGAATGGGAGACCACCAAGGAAGTCCAGGGTTGCTATGCAGAGGCAGGCCATTGGCAAACCACTGCTGTTTCCTCATGTCTTCAAAACCATACAGAGTTATGATAAGTGGGTTGCAACTTGATACAACTTTCCACCACCTACCAATTTGGACCTATGGGTATTTTGTCATTTAGATGGGGAAAAAGAAATTATTGAATCCTAAGGTGTTCTAGCAGCTATCACAATTTTGCTCTTTCCCCCCCTATTACACTTAAGGTTAGTCCGTGATACTGTAGAGAAATCTTGGCATGACCACCATTTCCAGCTGACCCAGGGATGAAAAGAAAAACAGCAGAGTATTCGTGGAAGCCAGTACTGCACACCAAAGTTTCTCCATGTGATCGATTTAAACATGCCTGCTGCATCTGCAGGGGTTTCCTTTATGTTTATGGCGGCCGGCACACCACCACCCTGAGTGACTTCTGGCGATATAGGATAGGTAGGTTTGACTGTTAATTTGTTTCATGTTTCCACCAAGCCAATCCTCAGCCTTGCAGATCCTCAGCCTTGTGCACCCCCTCCCACCTCCCCTTGGGCATACAGGTGCAATTGAAGACTTCCTTGTTTAGGAAGTCTTAAAATTCCAATTTGTTGTGACATTCAGATTCAAATGCCTTAGCAAACAGGGGGTTGTTTCGTTCCCAGTGACCACGTTCCAAACCACAGTTTAATCCTGATCAAGGAACAGACCCCAGTTTGTTAGGGGGAGCAGAACAGGATATTAAAACACACTGGAATTAGGCTTCAGACACTGGAAGAGTACTGGGGTTATCTGGGCATGTTTGTGTCTATTTGGAGATGGGGGTAGAATTCCCAGTTTCAGCTGACCATGTCAAATCTTAAAGAATATATGATAATATATGTAATATTTATTTATTTAAAACATTTATTATTAGCTGCTTTTCTACCTACAGGAACTCAAGGTGGCTTATACGTAAGGCCGCTTTATATGTAAAATATGTGTGTATTAAGGCACGATGACCCTAGGACACTGTTGGGCATTTGTCTACAGAATAAAGATTCACATCCAGCAAAAATGGTAGTTCTGTGTTGAGTGTTCAAGCTCTTGCACTGTAACATATGCCCTGTGTCCTGACATTATTATCTGGCGTGTGTCCTGGCTGTGTATCATTGGCTGCCAATGGACAAGCAGGGCGATGCTTGGCATAAGCTCATAAGGTAAATTGAACTGAGCATTCTGGAGAGCAAGGGTGGCACTTGATATGGGGCTACAGTTTTTGGTGGAGGCTCCATAGCTGTAAACATAGTTTCTGAAATATACTGGGTTCGACACATGGTTAGTGATCAGCTCATGCTTTATTATGAATCAGCTTGGAACTAAGACAAACGAGCAGGGCTGAAGCCCTGCTTAAATCCGTGCACAACACCACACCCCCCCACACACACACTTCCCGTGATAGGCTATTTACAGTGCGACTACCTGTCCATTGGTTCCTTTCAGGATCCCAGCTTTCTATTGTTCTAGGTTCCAAGCTGGGCTAGTCAATGCCGGGTCTAGGACATAACAGTTCCTGAAACGTTTTGTTTCATCCATGAGCAGCAACTGAAGCAAAGATTAAGAGAAACAATTTATCTATAATATATATTGTTCTTGGTTTCTTTGTAATGCAGGGCACCCAAGAGTATCTGCTTCAGAGAACCACAGTGGGTTGGATCCCATTCAAGACTCGGGGCGTATGTGTGGGGGATTTTTTGCTGATTCCCTTCTCCTATGACAGTCATCTAATTCCCTTCTGATGCTGGTGTTGTGGGACCTCCATTTCCCAGGGGGGAAGCAGCAGGAGGGAGGGGGGAGAAGGGGAAGTCATACTTCTATGCAGGTAAATTTTAGATTGATTTAAATACATTAGGTTGAATTCCGGGATTGTGATTCAGCTTTGTTGGATGCTACTGGAGTTTAGCGTAGGTAAAGGTAAAGGTTCCCTTGCTCGAAAGCCAGTCGAATCCGACTCTAGGGTTGCGGTGCTCATCTCCGTTTCAAAGCCGCAGAGCCAGCGCTGTC